GAAGAAGAAGATGAAGAAGAAGACGAAGAAGAAGAAGAAGATGAAGAAGAAGAAGAAGCAGAAGAAGAAGACGAAGAAGAAGAAGAAGAAGAAGAAGAAGAAGAAAAAGTAGAAGAAGAAAAAGTAGAAGAAGAAAAAGAAGAAGAAGAATAAGTAGAAGAAGAAGAAGAAGAAGAAGAAGAAGTTGTTCACATGAACGAGACCTGATTCTTTCTCAGAAACGTGTTGAAAATGAATACAACTCATAGGAGACGAAAGGGGTTAATGGCCAAACTGTTAACTCTCGATCTCGAACTCCAATTGCCGCCATCTATAAACAGTCCAGCGAGTTTTTGAAAAAAGAACAAAATATGTTTACACAAAGTTATGTAACACAAGAAAATAATGATCTTAAATTTATTCCATGATTCATTACATAGCTTTTGGATTCCAGCGGAGGAGAATTTTAACCAATCAAAAAATATTCTGTCATTCCAAGAACATATTGAAATTTCCTTAGCTCTGCTACCATCTTTTCCTATTTATTTTGCCCGAAAAAGAATGTAGGAATATTTTAGGATGTTGCGTCAGCCGCTGCACAAGCACTTGCCTCATGACAATACTACGATCGAAGTACGTTTAATACCGAGTGATATATTGCCAACCGTTCAAAAGCAAACGCAAATGTCAAGTAAATATAAATATATACATAGCATTCAGTCAAGTAAATAGATGTAACCTAACTCTTTCATAAACATTCATTTTTTCATTACATGGCAACTCTATAACTCTTACGTCATAACGTCAGTTACATGTCGCCAAATACACGTGGCGTGAATTTGAAGCAGGAACCAAGTAAGGCTCCATACATAATCGAAAAACTTTGGTATGGGATGAGCCATGGGAAACGTTTAATGACCCTTTATTCTAGAATAAGGTTTTAGCGTGTCGGTGCTGATTAAAATCTGGTAAGTTTTCTAACATCCTCATAGAGAAAAGTCCTGAAATTTAGTTATTTGCCACCCCTCCCTCTCCGCCCACTGTGAAGAATGGGGGACTTGACCGTGAAAAAAAAGTCAAGACTCGCGACGGTGAAACGTAAAATGAGTCCGCAACAACTCTTTTCTAATAAATCTTAAATACCAAAGGTAACTGACTCAATTTAATGAATAGGGCTAAAGAAATGTTTTCTTTTATAATGCAACCAATCGGTTTTCGTCGAGGACATTTGGTAACCAAAGAAATTGAGGACAACCAAAGTTTGAAACGATGCGCTATTTAGAATGATTAGTTACTGTTCCGTTTATGCGACCAAAAGATGCAACTAACATTGCTTCTCAGTCGCTATGACCTCTTCAAAGCTATTATAGGTTGAAAAACAACTAAATCCACGTTCTCTAAAAACAAAAACGGGAAAATGACTTCTGAGATCGAAATTAGGATGCCTACAACAGAAACCAACGATAAACGTATTCAGATCTTTAACTTTTCTGTCCGAAAGGTAGAGCGAAGGAAACTTGACATTTCGTTGTTTGCTGTTCGCTTTAACATGTTCCCAAAGAATCCTACTAATAGGTCGATCTCAGCATTTAAATGTTTCTCAGTTGCTTCGCATTAAGTGAAAGAGTAATTCAAGAGAAACTGTTTTCTTTCATAAGGCGAAAACGTCATGACTCATCCTTCTTGTAAGTCCACGACGAGAACGCGTTAAATTTTACCGACATACCTTGTGCGAAGGATAACCCCACAAATATGAACACAGTTATGTGCTCAGGAAACATGTTTCCAGCGACTGATTAGTTCGAAACGAAGCAAAGCAAGCGGTGAACACAACTTTTTAACAGCGTCCTCTAAGAAACGTGACACCTAGTACCTTGGACATTAACTTCCGTGTTTACCTGCTTTGTTTTGGCGTAACCATGGTAACACATTGACATACTCTTGAAGATAGGTAAAACAGCTGTCGGTATCAGTTGAGAGTACTGAGATCACATTTCTTATTCGGGGTTGATGGAGAGACGAATGTTTCTAACCTATGATTCGAAATGCTGACGTCAAGTCTGTGGTTGTCTGCATTTTGTAATACTTGCAGACATTTTGACAAAGAATTATTTCATTTAAAAGCCGTGTTTACCTCGCTCTCTAACGACACCTCATCTTACGAACAGTCGATCAACTAAGATTTTCCTTGGAAAACATTCTCTCATCGAGTTTACGCACAAAAACAGCGGCGGTTACACTCGGTTGAACGATACATTGTACATCTGTCGAATTCAATTCAAGAATATGCACTAAATGCAAATAAAATGCAATGTCTGTTTGAATTAAGTTTGGCAGTTTCGAATCAGATGACATTTCCTGATCTGCATCTTCGACTAAGCCAATCAAATATTCGCAGGAGCACTCTAGATATTCGTCAATAGTGTTGGTTGACGTTTCAATAAAAGGTTTGACCGTACGAGTGCCGAATCGAATGCGTAATTAGATTTACGTTCATGTATACCATATCTATTTAAAGGCAATTAGCCAAGTCCTGCATAAAGAATCTTTCCCATCTGTAGAAGCCGAGAGAAGTACTACCAAAGACCAGAGACATTGAAAAGATTCTATCATTTTCCACGTGCTGGAAGCATTTCGCGCTTTCGCTTCTTGCATTCGAAATAAAAAGAAACCGTTTCAGCGTCAGTGCGTAAAATGAAGCATTTCAATCTGCTTCAGTTCTAGAAGTAAAATCTTATAATATTAGTCGACCCATATGGGAGTATTTTCATTTAAACTGCACTGATATCGGGTGATTTGAAAAACTTCTCTTTAGACAGACCATGTAAGAGTCCTCATGAGGTCACGCAATCTCCGAAAGATGTACACCAAGGAATAGAAAATTGAGCACGGCTCGTTGTTGAACACCAGTTGCGACGTGTAAAGTTGCATTTGAACAGTATTAAGTATTACAGAAACAGTTTAATATTTCAACAGTGCTCCATGTAAGATAATAATGCCGGCATTATCTTCTTGACCGTCTGGCGAGAGTAGGCGTTGTTCGGCTTGTCTTATTTTTTATGTCTCCATGGAAATAACCCTAGGACAGTTTCGGTCTGGGGAAAGCGGTTACACACATAAACGTCCTTGTCCGTGGGCAAACGCCATTTGCCCATGGGTAAAATGGCTAGTGTAACCACGACTAATAGTTGAAGAAGATAAGCAGAACCTTGATGCAAGTGAAACGAGACAATGGTAGTCGTCAGCGGTGTAATTTTTCAGAACATGTTCTCGAAATATACAAACTCCAACAAAAATTTGCATCACTTTGTTGCCGTAGGATTGTTGCCGATGGATTTTTGTCGCATATCCCTGATGCATGTTACAAGAGTATACTTGTTTTAAGAGAGCCGTCGGTAACGATTTCTTTCAACGCAACAATATTGAATAAGAGACCGCGAAAGGTCTCGATTTAAATTGATGGTAAATATTCTTGGTTGTTTTGTTTAATTATTTATAATTTATTCTGTAGTATGTACGATGAATGACTTTATTTGTTCCATAGCAATGGCTTTGTTATCTTCTGGCACACAAACCTGACTTCACTTTTCTTGTATTATTTGACGAGTGGCTCGATGATTTTTTTTTCATGTATCAAAATTATTTTTCTGACTGATCAGGGATCTAATTGAAGTTCTAAGTAGCAGTAATTTAAATGCTGATCACTTTAACCTAGCCAAGATCGACCTTTTGATATAAGCAAATAATTTTTTTAGTTTTATTCTGAAAACGTGTTAAGGCTTTCAAAATAACTGACGTCTCACGGTTTCGAACCCTCCAGGTCGTCTAACTGTGGTCATAGCTAGAGGTGAAAAGCTGAGATTACTGGTTTACACGAGCGTTTTATGTTTCTTTCGCATATCTTGCATGACAGCGGTTGCTACTTTCCTGGGAAAATTTTGTGCGAGAAATTGACGTGCAGCCAGTCATAGATATTGATCCCCCGGCAAATGCCCTCCGTTTGACTGCAGAGTCAGCTAATTCACCCCAATCCTACCAGATCCCCACCAATCCAACCTCAATTTACTCTTACGCACCTTTATCCATCTAAATTCACTTTAAACTACCACAATTGATTTTATTTCTGACAAAACGTTTTCAATCTAATCAATTCATACTTTTACTGCGAAGAATTCTAAATTTACTTCATTTTAATTGACTTATGTCACCCCAAGCTTCCGCGGGGTGTTATCCAATCAATATGGGTTCTTGTGTTCACCCCAGGGCATCAATTTGTAAAGGGTTTATCTTTAGGAAAAATTCAAGGAGCTATCGGATTTGAAATTTGGAAAAAGTTAGAAAATTATAAGCAGAAGCGCTCAACGGAGTTGATCCTCGACGTACAGTAGCTTGCGATCCTAGGGTTGTAACCAGAAAGGTCAGGGTGACATGAAAAACGCTAATCATAGCTACGACCTTACTTTGTTGATCTTGCAGAATGAAAAGCGGCTGGAAATAAACGGTGTACTAAGGGGAGGGGGTTGCTGAGGTAAATGACGCCATTTCTTTTCATTAGAAAATTGTTACCATTTCTTGGAAAATTGACAACGAAAAAAGATATATTCCATGCCCCCAAATGCTCATTTAGACTCTAATGTAAGTACCCTCTATTTAATATGAATTTAAAATTAGCGTTGTTCTATCACAACTCTAGCAATCTGATTGGCTAAGTTACCATCGTCAACTATCACGTAATCTAGAGCTCCCCCTCCCCCCTCCCTTTTAAACAAATGCCCTAGAAATGAAATGTCATCTTAACAATGAACTGAAACAGCTTAAGACGGGATGTTTACGCACAGCTAAAAGTCGAAACATCAGCATCTTCATATAAAGTAAAGTGACCACAGCAGATCAAAAAAAAGACGGTTGTGCTGCATAGTAAGCCGTAAGCTTTACATAATGAGCTAAATTACGCGCACGTTTTGGTTGGTTCTTTCATGCGATCTATTGGAGCACAGACGCATTGATGACGTCACCATCAGTAATGTTTTGGCTCTTTATTGCATGAAACAAACAGATGTTGTCGTGGGTCTGTACAGTAAAAGATCACAGAAAACGTCATAATGTGATAGGAAGCTCAGTGACGCACCCGGCTGCGCCTCTTGGGTCACTTTTTTGTTCTCACCGCATTTTTACTGCATCTGTAATCTATTACTCAACAGAAGTATGGCAACACGGAATCTATATATGAAACATTTAATGGACTCACAGTTTTAGAGAACAGGTAGTTAAATCTTTCAAAAAAGTTTAAGAACGACATCACATTGTCCGGTATACGTGAGATTTCTAATGCATCACTTTTCTGTCTATTGACTACTAAAATACTCGATTCATAAATAGAAAGTAACTGAAATCTTGTTTCCTTGTTTTGAAGGTCTGATGTTCCCCTGTTTTGAAGGTCTGATGTTCCCCATGGCAATGTCCAAATCCATTCAGCACCTACTGCGAACTGAAAAAACAGAGTGGAACCAAAACAAAAAGCGGAAAAATTTTAATATGCCTGCGTTGCTGCTTCATCAAGCAAGTTGAACAGGGATCAAAGGGTTTTCTTACTACAAGTCATATATGTTGGGAATCCAATTCCACTGATGTAGGTTTTCAGAAAAAGGGAAAAGAAAGGAGGAAGGGTATCTAAGATGAATTAAATGGAAATTGTCTGAAATCTTTATCTAAGTTAATGTTTATTAAAGAACGCAATAGGGAAAATGAATAAAGGGGGTAAGTTTCTACAGAAACTTTGGTGCTGCGTCGGTGAGAGAGTATAGCAGGTAATTGAGTGTTAACAACCGAGTTAAAAACGTAAATTGGCCACCGTAAAGAGTAAAAAAGCTGACGTTTCGAGCGTTAGCCCTTCGTCGGAGCGATTGGAGGAATTGTGGGTTGTGTGGGTTTATATGCAGAGAGTGGAGCTACGCTATTGGTGGGAATATGGTGCCAAGAAAATAGGAATAAATTAGTTGGATGAAAAGCGCTGGACAAAGGTCTCCAGGCCCTAAAACAATTTTGCGATCATCGCACTGTCAAGGAACCTAGCTCTGAAACACTACTCCGTTTCTGAAATGTTATTTACTGCATAACTTGCACTTATTGCAATAAGTTATACACTGGCGAAACAGGAAGACGACTGGGTGACAGATTCCGAGAACACCTTCGCGACGTGGAAAGAAATGACAAGGACGCATCCAAACCAGTCGCTAGACACTTTAATATCTCTAATCACTCTAAACAGCATATGGCAGTTTGTGGCCTTTCCTTACATCTAGGCAGCTGGGAAAGCCACAAAAGACAAGAACAAAAATTTATCTTCCAAATCGGCACCCTTAATCTCCACGGAATCAGCGAGCGCTTTTCATTCAATTAATTTATTCCTGTTTTCTCGTGGCCATATTCCTACCAATAGCGTAGCTCCACTTTCTGCATATAAACCCACACACAACCCATAATTCCTCCAATCGCTCTGACGAAGGGCTGTCGCTTTTTACCCTTTACGGTGGCCAATTTACGTTTTCAACTCAGTTGTTAACACTCAATTACCTAGGAAAATGAATGGTTGAGTTAACATCAAGGCGCAAGATATTTCAAAAGTGTTGTAAATGGTAACCGAAATTCGCTGAACACATCAAAATCAGCAGAGAAAAGTAGGAATAGAAACTGAAATGCTTGTTTCCTTACTTACCGCCCCTTCCCCCCCCCCCCCGGTCATCCTTACTCTTTACAAGATCAAGGTAAGATTTTTTGGAAGTAAGCTTGTTTTTACTTCGCACACGTCCTTTACCTGAACGAGAGTAACATCCCAAAAGCCAGGACCAGAAGGGAAACCGTTATACCCACTGAAAAAAAAAAAAATTAATATTAATAATACGTTATTTCAGTGCTGCAATGGCCTCATCTGACATGTCCATAACGCCTAATACGTTAAATTTTCCTAAAGTATTCAAAATATAACTTGACAGAACTTTGTTGTGAACTTATTTTAATCACGCTCAAGCACATCTAAATCAAAATTTTAAATATAAATGAAGATAATCTCGGTCTGGTCAGGAGCGCTATGCTGCTGAAGGCTTATTTAAGTCACCCGCTTAACTCGATTGAAAATAACACATAGCCTGCACAAAGCTTTCACTTAGTTGTAAAATGCAATCGATGATTGTGTCTTATTAATGTATGCCTAGCGACTTATCCCTCAGAATAATCATTTCGTAGCCGTCCAATTGAATATTAAGGAATCACTGCTCTCCGAGAGAACAAGCCATCCAGAAGTACCTTGTGAGCGCTCAAAATAAACCAAATGAAACAGTTTCTTCAAGTTGCTTATCTTGTTTAAGCCAGAAGATAATGGGCACCTCAAAAGGAACTAAGCACAGAGGTTCTGGGACGCGAAACATGACCGGGGGAGAATACAACTACTTCTAAAGCGTTCCGACGTCAACTAGGCGCTGCAGACACAAGTTCTGTAGAAAGCGCCAGGTTAAAGAAATCTTAACTGCTTCTCCAAATAAGTTTGCAAATGCCATTTACAATTTCCTGAAATACTCCTGTCGAATGGAATCACTATCTCAACTTTCTAAGTCACTATTTCAACTATTTACAGGATTGTGTCTTACCCGTGCCACAGTATTCTACGCAGTCTTTCGTCATCTTTTCCACCTTCAACCCGTCACAGCTGTACCCATCATCCGGCACACACTTTCCCTCGATAGTGATCTCACCGCCACCTCCACTACACTTTTCGCATTCGCCTTCTTTGGCTTTCCAGTCCTTTAAGTCAACACCTGTGACATCATTTTGAATCAAAATCAGCGAGCAGAGGGAAAATACAATCATTAACAAACTTTGCAGTAATACACCTAAGGCAGAAACTTACTGCAAGGGAGAAACTACCAAGATCCTAACGTGCCAAGTTTATATCCAGAATTTCAAATATGTCTTTACTTAACTTTTCAAATCAGTTTTACTTTTGTCTCATTTCCATTATTAGCACATACCACACAGGTGAATTGTACTTTTCACGCGCACTGATTTGTTAGTTCGGGAGAGATTAACGAGTACTACTTACCTCCGTGTGGTCGACTGACAAACTGTATTTTAGGTCAGGAGTATTTCTAATCCACATTATTCAATTACAAAACGATCGACAGGGGAGACATTTCAGTCGTTTAGTCATTATACACTGACCTTTGGGTTTAAATTCAGCACCCTCACTCATAACCTTCAAATCACGAAAGAGACCAGTCTTCAATTTTTCTGTAAACACCTCTTCGATCAAAACACCTTTTTTCTTCACAACCAAGCATAACTTCGCTTCCACGCCAACTTTGCCGTTTTTATTTGAGAATTTGACTTCTGATACTTCAACATCGTAGTACTTTTTGGAATCATTGTAAAGGTATTCCATCTACAGGATAAGAGTAATCACGTGGGTGTTAAGGTCATTGTGACGCTCATTAATCAGATATTGGGTATACGAACTCAAGTTGCAAAATAAAAACTTGTGTATCCAGTCTGAAACAATAGCACCTCTCCTTTACATATATGTATGCATTTTCTTTTCAGTTCCACCTTCGATTCCCTTAGTGCCCGTGATGATTTACTATCGGTAACCGCCAACCCTACCCCTTCCCCCTTCCCCCTTCCCCACACTCCCCTGCCCCTGCCCCTGCCCCACCTCCCCCCTTTCCTCTTCCCTCCCCTCCGCTCTCCAACCAAGTGCTATTGTACATACTTTTCTAAACGATAAAATGTTTGGCTAGTTTTTCACAGATATCAGGGAAATCAAACCGTCGAAAGTTTCGTGCCTACAAATTGAGAAGTAATGCAAGCATATTTCTGGGTTATTGAGCATCAAACAGAGGAATTATAGAGCTGGGTTGGAGCTCCAAATTCATTCGTAGGAACAGTCTTATGAGAAAATCGCGAGAAGAGCAGTTTCAGCCACATTTTTATGACCAATTAGCCTTTATGGCCTTTTTCGTGCTTTCCTCGCTGTAGTTATGGATGAAAAAAATCTTCCATTCGTGACTCTTTTTGGCACAAAAATATTCCAGCTTCGATTTGGGAATTATCTGCCACAAAACTTCACTAAAGTTTGACTTGGACTCTACAATAAGAAACGTGAACGTGGATTTCCCCTCATCGAACAAATGATTGAGAAGTCAGGTTAAACAAAAACCAATAAATGGACTTACTGCCATGGATGTCATGTCTTCCAAAGCTTTGGACTCTTTTGACGTAGAGTTTCCAAGGGATGCATTCCACATTCGGTCTGCCACAAACTTAATCATCGCACAAGCTAAAGAAGGAACAAACGTTAGCACGCCCTCAAAGGATACGAAAACATAACAATAAGAGTGAATTAACAGTACATTAGGATTTAACAACAAACTTCAATTTCATCGACTGAATCTTTTAATCAGCTGGATTTGTCGTCATGTGCACAAAAAAACTATATTTGATTTAATTTTGGTCGCCAAAGCACATGCATAATGCGACTTCTGAATCATATTCCGCACCTCTGCCGTTCAGTAACCTTTAACTCCCTGAAACTTATTGCTTGAAAATTCTCCTCTCTCGCTGCTACACATTTCTTTGTAACAGAATTTGTCATGAGAATTTGGTGTTAGATCAAGATAACAACTTCTATCTGATAAGTTTGAGTATACTCATGACCTGTTTGCTGGATAATTTATGGATATTATAGGGAGAAGTTTAACCTTAATCACTTCTGGGAGGTACAGAGTTAAAGTGCAGGTCGATGGATGTGCTCTCTCATATCATAAAAAAAGCTGCCTTATACGTTAATTCTTAGCTTGTTCGTCATTTGTTTATTTGTTTGTCAACTTTTCAAGAAATTTTAGACAGGAGACTGAGCAGAATTCTTAGAAATTTTAAGAATATTCGTTTTGTCAACACAAACTGACACTCAAGTTACAAAGAAAATGCCGATTGGTTTGTCTTTGACATAACAGGCGACGTGGAATTAAGTATCACAGACAAATAAGCCCAGAAATGATTAGAAGCATCAAGAAACTGACAAATAAGCTTACTTGGCTTCTTTGTGTCTGTGGTTGGTGTGGTTTCCCCTTTTTTTGTGGTACTTTGCGTCGGTGTGGTGTCGTTGGGTACTTTTGTTGTAGGTTGTGCTGCTTGTGATGACATGGGCGCCATAGTGTAAGATGCAGTCGGTGATGGCATTACAACAGTCGAATTCTGTCCCAGGGCTTCTGCAAACCAATGGTTAGATTTGAGAAAGATGAAGAAGAAGAAGAAGAAGAAGAAGAAGAAAAAGAGGAAGCAGTTGTTCACGTGCACAACACCTGATTCTTTTTGAGAAACATGTGTTTACTGATGAATAAATTTTATAGGAGACCAAAGGGGTTAAAAGCCAATCCGTTAGCTCTCGATCTAGAACCTAAATGCCGCCATTTATAAACAGTCCGGTTTCAATTTTCAAAAATATTCAGTTATTCTATTTTTTTTCATGCAGTTTTATAATTTTTCAAGTTTTCTTTCCGAAAAGTTTGAAACGAGTGATTTTGGAACAGCGAGTTTTTGAAACAAGAACAGATATATGTTTACACAAAGTTATGTAACTCAAGAAAATTTTAATCGTAAATTTATTCCATGACTCACTTGCTAACTTTTGGATTACAACGGAAAAGAATTTTAACCAATCAAGAAATATTCCGGTATTCTCAGAATTTTGACGAGCCTACTAATTTTTTCAAGTCTCGCTTTCGATGCATCGTATATTACTAAATAAACAATTAACATCATCGAAGTTTTGCACTCTCCTTAGCTTTGAATCCATTACTCTTCAATAAATGCAGTATTAATTTAAATATAACATGTGCATGCGGGTAGTGATAGTTTCACGAAAGTCCTTTTAGCGGTATGAGGAATTACCTGCAGAGCGATACAATAGTTTGCTAAGGAGAGAAAAACGCAATAAGAAATGTGAAGCCTGCAATAGATGGAAATGAAGAAGACTATTATCTTTCGCTAAAGATGACCATAAAATCACTCAGTGTGGTGTGAACCTTCAAATGGAATCGTCACAAAACCGTCAAACAGTTCTCTAACGGAACTTCAGTATGAGAAGCTTGTGCAGGAGGCTTGGAGTCGTTATCTCCGGTACTCGAAAAAAATTAGCACTTCAAAAGCAGATTAACCATTGCTAAAGACGACAGAAATGATATGAGGGTATGATAACAGCATATTCAGCGCTGGAATATGCTGTGCGGCTGTTTCGAATTGTCATCCTTTAACCTGGGGATGATTTGAATTATCCTTTAGCTTTTCTGTCGCATTTTCACTCCTCAGGGAGCAGAATAGATGAGCTGTATACAAAAATATATACAATAACGCTAACCTGAAGTAAAGAAGGCCAGTAGAGTAAGTGCAGTTGTCGGTAAGGAAAACCGTGACATGTTTTCACTCCTGAAGATTTTTCTGAACTTAAAAAAGTTACACAAATTTACACTGCGGCAGGTGCACGAACAGAATGTTTTTCAAAATCGAGGACCAAAGGTTGAGTTTGGTTGTCGTTGCTTCACCCTTCAGCGATGTGTTTTGTTTTCTGTTTTGACGTTTCTATGTATTTAAGGTTCACCACTGGCATTGCTGAATTTGATAGTCATGTGCTGAATGCATCAAAGTGTTACCGAAAAGTCAATATTTGGAGAGAAAGCACCCACGGATTTTATCTTTGGCCAATGCAAGGCGAATCTTTTAATCAAATCAGCAGCTTTTACGATGCTAACATAAACAGATGGTCATTGAATGTCATGATATTCCTTGACATAAACTTTCACGCGCAGACAACATTTACATTTAGACTATCATGTGTAAACAAGTTAACAACGACAAAGTAACAACGTATAATATACGATGCCTTCTGCATGCATGTTTGCTGTTTTAGGAGCTGTACTCTTCAAGATTAGCATTTGAGGAACGCTGTTTTACGTCGGAGTTTCCTTCAAATTTTAATGAACGCACAAATAATGGAGTTTGTGGAAAATATCAAAACAAATTGATAACAACGCAAAAATTAATTTAAATGGTAATGGACCAAGATTAGTGTAGATCATGAATGAGTGAAGAAGATTCCAAAATCTACTAGGTTTTTCGCAATACATTGTCAAGCTATTACGATATTTCATGATAACAGTTACTATTTATAAGCCCCTCTCTGTAATTTCACAAATTTCATACATGAGGATAACCTGTGATAAGTTATTACTGCCTGACAAATTACCGCGGTAATAAAAATTGGACAAAACTTTTCCGCTGATTCAAGTCTAAGCTCAGATGATTCCAATGGTCTTCCTCGTTCAAGAAACCTAATTAAACAAGGCGAAGTTTTTTGTGCAGAACACCTGTATAAGATGATTTTGTTGGGCACTTTCATGTACTCTCCAATTGACGTCATGATAATTTGGAGAACGATAATACTTCAATCCTGACTGAGGGGTAGATATGATGAGGATATACCAATCAGTCTCGGCAAATTGCTTTCCTAAACCAGTAGTTATTTAAAGTTATCCGCGGCCGTTGTAACTGATGCCCCTTTTTTATCTTATCATCAAAGACGAAAAGAAAAATACCCTTATTATATATTCTCTCGAGCAGTGGCTCCAAATGATTTTCATCTTTTCAAATAGATAAGATGACGCGGAATACGGTAATACCACCTTTAAAAAACAAGTCTGAGGAATTGAAACTTTCCTGCTGACTTCGGTGGAGCTTGCCAACTCGACAAAATGGATATTCAACACCTGCCAAGTTTAAGGATTTCAATAATTCCAAAGCTGAACGGGGACATTGAACATTTTTTTTTAACATTGCCCATATTCTGCGAAGAAATTACAAAAGAAAACGAGTGCTATAGCCTTCATGTTTCCTCTGTATCAAGATTAAGAGAAGAAAATTAAATATCCTCCCAGATTTATCATCAATCAAAACCTTGCTGTCGGAGGCGAAAGAAACGGTCGCTCGCTCGCTCGACCGTTGCATAAAAAGATATTTTATTTTCATAAGGCGAAAGTTTATCAAACCGCTTTTATTTGAGATTCATCCAGGTCAAAGAGAAAGGGATTCTTTTCGTAACATTAAGATAGATGTAGTTGCCACAATAAAAATATTTTTTTCCTTTCCCAACCTTGTGATGAAAGTCGATGAAAAATGCAAATATGAGCTGACAGAAATAAAAACCATGTTAATAATTAACATTTGTTTTTACCTGCCCACATTCAATTGAAGTAACATGATCGAAGGCCTCCATAAAGGGGTTTCTTTGTGATGCTCGACGAACAGGTGCTGTAGGTTTGAATCGTTAGCCCGTGAAACAGATTAGATACAATAGTAGCCTTCAGCAATTTTGTTTTTTTTTTCGCAAGCAATCTATCATCTATACTGGGAAAAATCCATTATTTCCAATGATACCTATCCAACAGCGACAGAAATCAACACATTTCAACTCTCGCTCGAGTGGAACTCCTTTGCAAGATGGCTTGCACATGTGAGTTTTGAGTGAATGCTGCTTCGCCTAAACAGCAGTTGGCTGGGCATGAACTAGAATTAGCGTCATTTGCCCAAGAGCTAAACTTGTATGCTACAAATGAAAAAAAATACTTCTGAGTGCACATGAGTGGTGAAGTTAATGCACAAAGTAATTGAGACTCAAGCCTGGTCATTCTGTTTGGTTGTAATGCTATGGTGATTCGTTTGTACAGTGTTGGAAGATGCTGATTTGTGTTTAGGGGAGTGTGCTAAAAGTTAACTCACCAGCGTTCCAAGGTCATTCGTTGAAGGAATTTCAGTCGTCTGCATCTTAGCATGTAGAGAAACAGCTGGAATTCAACAACGGCATTCGACCATTTACTTCTTTTGCATGAGATAAGATGCCACATAAAAGCCATCTTCACAGCCTGAGGTGATCCTCTCGATACCTCGGCAAACAGCCATTGCAAAAGTTTCATAGTCCAATGGAGGAAGACAACAGAAAAAAAAGGAAAGCAAAAGAAAAAGGAAAAGGAAAAAGAAATGCAACCTATCAGAAACGCTTTCCTTCAAATCGACAGTTTCGCTATCCACTTTCAGCGTGCCGAGCTTTCCGTTCCTTGTGATTTGCAGCAGTGTATTAAAGGGATCTGTAGAGTCTAAGAGAGCAGCTCCGAAAAGAAGTCCGTAAAAATCAGTCCTTAAAAGCGACCTCGAGCTAGAAAAAAGTTAAAAATAGTTCGGCATTATTGAAATGATTTGACATCATTTGGCCAGCCATCATGGATTCAATAAGCTCTAAAAGAAGTTAAATTCCCATGGCGGGCTGAGTGGCTTTTAAATTTTACAAAAACTTTATTTATTATTTTTTTTTTACAAAAGCTATTCATAAATTATTATCATAAAAATGGCCAACAGAGTTAAGGTGATCAAAGACGTAGCCTTTTACAGCCGTTTGAAGCGTAAATATGTGTGTTGTGTTGCTGCTACATAACGACAACTCTTTATAAAAAGGGCAGTGAATCGACGGACTAAGAAAATCCATTTTCTGCCAGAAGGGATTGATCGATTTCGTCTTGGTTTTTAAGTGCTTGTTACAATAATGAATCACGGCTTTAACGCTATCAAGCTAGAACATCCGAACTTGCATTTAATTACATAGCGTTTACAAATCATATAGAGTTTCCAGGCATTTTCATACTCTTCCTGTGTCAAAGAGGTTAGTGCACTTCTTTTTTAATTCCAGAGTTGTCCTGGTTTAGAGGATCACGGGCTTACAAGTCTTGGTCATTTTTGTACTCATCTTTCCAAGGAAATTCAGTAAATGTAACACTGATTTGAAACTTCCTCTCTACGAAGCAAAGTAATGAATATGACATTTTAGTCTCTGAAATATTGTTAGTGATGAATAATCTTCATTGACTTGGGTTGCTTCCCTCAATTCCATAAACTGCAGGTGATCTTCCGCATGTTTTTTTTTTTAGAAAATGCGGAAAACTTTATTGATGGAAGCGCTTTCACATGCTTAAATACTTAATACTTATAACGCGCGCATATTTATTCGCATATGCTCATATGCGCGCATCGATGTAAATGATTCTATATTGAGCATGATTTTCCCTTCTTATCACTTACATAAGCTAACATGGCGCCCAAAAAAGAGAAGTTCTCCTCTCTGACGCGTTCATGTTCAAACTGAAATCCCTGACGAGGAGAGCAATTGCGGTTTCGAATCCAAGATCTGTGAAAATCGGAGGCGCCGTTTGGAGGAGCGGGGGGATTCGGGGGACACCCCTTCCCCCTGAAATTTAAAAATTTCAGCGTTCGGAAATGTGATCTCCGTCTTTCAAGGAACAATTTAATGAATTCAAATGATCCGCTGAAATGTTAATCATTGCATTTTCCCCCCTTGATTGCGATTTGCTTTCTTGGATAACAATAAGAATTCAAAAGACGATAATTAAATAGTTATTCAATTAATTATGTTTCGCCCCTTTTCAGTTGTCTTAGATTACGGCCGGGGGTTCGGCTAACCCCCTCCTCCCTTTCCCCGAAATCCACACGTCTTGTCCAGGTTTCCAAAGCATCTCTGGAAGTTTGTTGGACTAACTTAATTTGTTTTTTTTTCGAGGCTATCTTACAAAATGAAACTCTAATTTACGGTGTTCAGATAAAACATCCTCCTACGGTTGATGAAATACTAGTGTCTGACACAGATTAAGAGAAGAAAAGCTTGACATACTTTATCTCACTCTGAAATTTGAGTCAGAAATTTATTTTATTACAAATTGTGATGCGTCAGTCGGTCATTCACTTTCGAACAGTAAATCCTTCGTCGCTGGGCCTGCCTTTTATTCCCTCTAAATGCGTTAAGAGAAGGACTGACATTTTTGCAGAAGACGTAATTACTTCCACGCGCTTCGGTGAACTTGGACAAGATCGCACTTAAGTGGCGATATGTATATATATACCCTAGTTGTATCATTTCGCTTTTGCTACCCTTAGCTAGCTCGTACCAATTAGAGCTGTTACAATTTTTTTCTTCAGGAATAATTGTAACGTTGTTCACGGCAACGTGAACTTTATAATGACATCTGATTTCGCTTCATTTCATTTTCTGCTTCTGGTTCACGAGGAAGGAAAAGGCTGAAATGAAAAAATTTATTTAAAGGTATCTACTCACCAATCTTCTCAGAATGTGTTACCAAACAGGCTGCTAGTATACACACTGTGAGAGGAATGGAATGTATTTTCTGTTCTAAGTCAGCAAAGTTGATTCGTGAAATTTGCTCCCTCTCCAGAAATGTGCTTTTCTCCTCAAACACACAATTGAAAAACAGACGCTGCAGTGCAGTGGATACTACCCGAGTTTTCGTCCTTTGAAAACAACGCAGCCAGGTGTTCGCGGTCACGAGCGTTTCAAAATGGATGCATGAGGCGTGAGGGAACACGAAAAACAGGTGGAGTACCCTGTACAAGGAATGGCGGGCGTTTTGTTCGACCACAAATTACAACAAAAATAGGGAGTGTACTTGCCAATCGATCATGATTGATCATGTTATTTATTATTCAACTGCACAAAGTAGAGTACAGCTGACGCGCGAATAGAGCACAAACACGGTTATTTGGACGGTTGGTTTACAGTAAAAAAACCTGTTTAACCAGTCGGGTGCGCGCGCTACGCTTCTCTATCCGCTTTGCTTTTCCCACCTTATGAGGAATGAGCAGAATGACTTAGCAAAAAAGAGAAGCAGTTGGAAAATAAATGACTTATTAGATGTTTTAGCGTGTAGTATCGCTGAGTATTTTTACTATTTGTTGGTGTTTTGACTCGCCCTCCAGGCACAACTCGTAAATACGGCCCATCTCGTAAAAGTACTCAGCGATACTTCACACCAAAACGTCTAATAAAATATATTTATTATATACTAAAACAAACGATAGCTTTGAAGGCGCACTCTGGTTGACCACTCAAACTTCCATTATGCATTACTATTCACCTCCGAGCATTTGCGAGCAGGATTCATGCCAAAAAAAAAAAAAAAAAAAAAAAAAACCCCAACATATCAGTGAAAGAACACGGTGACGAATGGAGGATCACTTGATAACAATACTGTCTGGTCAAGGAACACTTGCTGTTGTTTTCCCTTCGGACAATATACACCAAACAGGTACCAACCAATAATGCAAGCTAACTTCAGTCGATATTCTTTGTTTTATTTATGTCTGTTACCAACTTTCCTGTGTAAATTATATTGATAAAAATATAAATTTGATTTTCTTATTTTCTATTTCAAAAGACATTATTTTTGCGGAATTCCTAAGATTTTCTCGGCGTAACAATCATGGAACGCATTTACGTATCCGCACACAGTCTGTGGTAAAACAAGGTTCCATAATTCTGTATTGTACAAACATTTCTATTTATAAACCAGATATCTTTACCTGCAAATGAAATTTCTTTACAATGCCACAAAAACTTTAATTTCTGTTTTACCTCTTGGATTACTCATAACCAAGAATATTTCGTCTTTGGGCTGTTTGGCTTCAAAACCCTCAAACTTCTGAACGTAATCTAGAGTACAGACACTCAATAGTTCTCAAGCCTTCGACTCTGGAGGAATGGAAAAAGTTTTCTAACTCACTGCAATTTACTCTGGCAAAAAGGTGAATATTTTGACATCGTCAACTACACAGCGACCAGCGCTGTTTTAGGTCGCTGGATCGTTGTCTACTTCCAGTTTCGCGGGATCTTCACACGTAGTAAGAGCCATACGGTGAAACTCCGGTCTCATTTTGGATGGGGCTCCGCCGCGCTTAGGAACACTGCACACTTGTCTGTGCACCCAAGGAGCGTTAACCTTCCACACCTCTCGACCCACTGATACAGCTCCCTTATGGATTTGGTCCATGTTGAGCATCAGGAACTACAATCTCCGTCGCTAATCCCATTCACGGTTATACGTAGGGTAGTTTTGTCCGTGTCACCGCCAAGCGTTGGGACTTGGGTTTTTGTTTCTTAGCTCGTGGTTTGCGGTTAGCTCGACACGACAGAACAGCGCAGTAAATAACGATCAAAGTTGAGAAGAAAACCACGTACATTGGTAAGGTGGAAAGGACACTAATGTTGACCGCGGGAAGTTCATCCGGGTCTGAATCTGCTACATCCGGGTACGGGGCCACACGCTGCACGTGACGAGGCACTATCACGGGTAACTGTAAAACAATTGAAACGTTTTCAAAATGTTAGATGATTTAATTGATTCTGAAACGTGGCCACAGTTAAAATATTTTGAAATTGCCTGACTTTTCCCCGACAGACGTAAAATTTCTCTGCCAAATAAAATTCTCAATTTTAATTGGCCTTCAACCACCACTCACATCCTCTTAACCATCACTCACCATCCTCTTAACACTTTAACCCCCAGATCAAATTTGTAATTCTCCTTACCGTCAAGCAGACAATTCTTATGTTAATTCAGAGAATTTAGTATTGGATCAACTAATTATCCCCAAATTGATAGTTTTCTTTATTCTCATCACTTACCTGGTTGATATTGTATTGATGTTGTAAGGAGAAAATCTCTCTTAGTCACTCTTGGGAGTTAAGGGGTTAACACGTAAATTTATGCTTTCAGCGAATTACAACGTACATGAATTGATAGTTCCTTTAAGTAACATGGAATAAGGATTGATTTTCTTGGAAACCCAACATCAGCTTGTCGTTCAATTTCACCAAGTTAAATTTCACCAATCCAACACCTTTCACGTCTGTGAAACATACTGAAGAATTTGAAATGTCTATCCTCGTTTCTTTCTCAATTCCCTCTATTTTCTTTTATAATTTTTATCCCAGATAAATGAAATACATATATCATTTCAACGTTTCCTTTCGTGTGTGGATCATTCTCGGTGACGCAAAAATGATTCAAAACATCGTAAGATCGAGACCGTTACATGTACGTTCCCAAAACAATTATTACTGCGAGAAACAGCAATGCTTTTGAATCACTGAACGCAACAATTTCATCCAAAACTTTACTTTCTAGAGTCGACACTTTCCGCTACTTGCAAAAGGACACTACTTATGTTGACTTCACCTAAGATAAGCCTCTCAAATTTCAACCAGTCCAAGCCCATCGAGCTAATAAGAACGAATGAAAGAGAGTGATCTCACCTGATCTAGATTTACAGATAATAGCCATCTTTGCTTGTGAAGGTTTTCTGGGGCCGTTATATTGAGGGGCTCTGGTTTGCTCCACGCCTGAGCGGGACAATCAGGCAACGGGACTGTTTCAATAGCCCCTAGCTGGGTTGCATCCAGGACTTTGGAGTATTTATGGAGATGGTTCCCTGAAAAGAAATAAAAAAGAATCAAGAATGAAACTTCATGAACACAAAGGATTCTATGCAAAATGAAAAGAATGTAGTTTTAAGGCTAAAAAATTTAAACAAGGGAAGCTGGGCAATTCAACGACAAGACATTATGACAACACAGAGGTTTGCAATTGATCATATCAACACGTGTCACAAAGTTTCTTCAGCTTTGCAAATATCCTCATTGACTTACCATCCATTCTCTCTGGGGCAGATTCAGAGGGTTTTGGGGGTCCACTGCTGAGATCCTTTAGAACAGGAGACAGAACACGATTTGCAGTGAAGTCTACAAGCAGGTCCAACAACCAGAAACAGTCTGAGGATAAAATTGGTGTTATCAGCTTAGTAAATCAAGTTAAGAAATCCCTAAAATTTCTCAGTATTACCTGTAACATACTTCACGAGTCTACCTCTTCGAAAACCAGCATGTCAATTTGTAAACAGGGGGAATAGAGAAGGCTAAATAAAAATTTTCTTTTTCCATTTTTACTGCCACAGGAAAGCCTGCTAAGGTAAGAGGCCCGGCTGTACTTTCTCGAAAATCATGAATCGCGAACTCAGCTTCTGAGGCTTTACAAAAGTAAAACAACTCGTACCTTTTTCCATATGTGCGTTGTCAAGGCAATTCGAATCACCATACAAAACGATTCTACCACTTTGGAGGCCCGGTACTTGATAAAGCCCCAGAATTGCCACGTCCTCCTCGGTCTTAGTCTCCCCCGTTACAACCTCGTTCCCCTGATGATTCAATTTTTCTTTTATTACGAGACCGTCTGTTGGAAACGAGGCTATGCTTGTTCCGGACGAGTACAACACTGCAATGAAATGAAAAGAGTAGTTGAACTACATATTTTGTTCCGGCGAAGACTTCGAATGCATCCAAGCTGACAAAATTTCAAACTGTCCATCACTGAGATAGCTAACCCAAACACTCATGCCTGTGATCAGTACAGGTAACAAAACAATGAAAAACGGTATGTTACAAATACTTTGTATCGCATTACCAACTGAACCAGATGATGGTTCGGCTTTCAAAAGTGAACGTCAACGAGTTCACTTTGCTCCTTAGCAGTGCGTCGAAGCACGAATGACAGGTATAAGTGGTAGAGAGCCAAAAATGACCACACGAAAAATACTGGGAAACTGCGATGACAAAAGACATCATTCTTACATACACTTACACACAACGTGTATATGTCAAAGCTGAATCCGCAAGTTGTAATATGAGCAAAATGAAATTCCTCATGTCTGAGCAAATTAAAGATTTTTACAAAATAACTAAGAAACTACGCGCACTGGATAAAACCCACCGTTCGTTGTACCAATAAACGTATAGTTATCTTATAAACGCAATAACTGCAATTTCCATCAGTTAACCCCTCCCCCCTTCCGGGGAAGAAATTGTGGTTCATTGCTTTTATAAAATAGCTATGTGTTTCACGGTACAGTAAACCATGGTTTTCTGAATGATCAGAACGTGCGTGGAAACTCGAGTATTTCAAAAAGATGTCTTCAGTACTCAATATATGATAATCCCGCAGCGTTCAAGAGCCCACGGTAAGAGCCGTTCAAACAATGTACCTTTATTGTCTCCAATAGTGAATTCTCCTTCGTACACTTGATCACTGAAAGCCATGTTCCAGTGAGACAGCAGTGAATTAATTGCTGGTACATTCACTCCTCCAGTGTCCGGCATCCACCATTGTCTCGTGTTCTCATCGTAAAACTTGATCTTTCTCATGACAGGCACATTGAACCAGTCACCAACTACAATCACTGACAGGCCCCTCTCCTCCACATCCTCCCTGAGCTTGGCTACCTCTTCAGCAAAGTATTCCTCTTCGCTATCAACAAGAAGCAACGTGCCTAAAATAAACAAGAGTAGTTCTTCAGTTTGTTCCCATTTACTTTCGACATGGATGGTCTGAGAAACTGACCGGTTAAAGGTGGACGGTACACTTACTGTACTTTGAAGCATCAAAACATGTGAACGGAGCTCCAAGAACTTCTACGAAGTAACCAGCGTTCCTGAGATGCATGTACATATCCTTAAAATTGGTGTGAATATGATCACCATTCCTGAGAGAAAATACATGCGAAACGTCTCACTAATAGACATAACATATTGTTCATCTACCCAAGTAACCATAGAAATTAAGAACTTCCAGAATAACGTAAACAGCCACTTATAGGCCCTGGGCTTATACAACTTCGAAAGGGGTTTCAGAGGGCTTACATTTGCCATTTTCTGTTCAAGGTAGCACAGAGTTCGTTTATCTCATAACGAGAAAAGTAAGATGGGGGCTTATATCAAGGGAGATTTATAATCGTACGAATTTTTTTGTTTACAAGTACAGGGGCCTGTAACCTGGGGGGGGGGGAGAGGGGGGGAAGAGGGGAGAGTGGGAAAATTAGAAATGGCAGTCTACGGTATCTCAGACGTACACATTTATGTATTTTGGTGCACGAGAAGCTCCTCCAAGTAACCAAAATTCCTAGGTTGACTTATGCTACTTATGTTCTCCATTTTATTTCATCTGACACAAAATTCTACGACCAATAATCACATCTGCTTCACGACTTTATAAGCACCTGATGCACAGGTTACCTAATCTGGTTCTCACTCTTCTTTTAACCCCCCTGTGAATTTCCCAGATCCCTTTTCACGCTCAGTACAAATACTTACCAGTCTAACGGGTCGTTTCTCATTTTTAAGTTGTCTCGGGGAAAATATCCTGACGGGTATCGAAGATTGTGAAATTGGTCCCACAACAATCGTTTGCTGCACGAGAATAAAAACGAAAATATTCAAAACCACAACTAACGATTCAAACATTTATCTTAAAGAGCAATTTTCAACTGTGTCGATTAGTAATCAGAGATTTTTTTTGCTTTTACTTAACTTTGCTCCGTGATTGGTTAAAAAACTCGCGCCATTCTCTCAACCAATCAGGTGAAAAACTAAAAACCATCGCAACTTGGTCATTCGTGTTTTCCGGCGCTTCAAGCAGTTTGCTTATTTCGCTTTGAGTTCTTACTGGTTTATGAAAATCTGATGTAAAGCTTTATTTTGATTAGTCGCTAGGATTACTTTGGTTTTGGGATTTTTGGACACTCAGTTGAAACTGTTCTATGTACACCATTTGAAAAGAAGTACTAAGGACCCAGCCCTGACCATTCCGAATATTAAAATATCAATTCTCCTCACTGTCTACAAACCTCTTCTTGTAGTTGTCGCTTTGAAAATTTAGTGTTACAGTGACTAAAACGATACCCACTCGTTGATAATTCCCTTTTGTCTCAATTTTCTTATCACTGAACAATATAAGTAAGTTGACATTGTATGAAAAACCTTTTTATCGGTCACATCTAGAAGAGATAGGTTTAAAACGCTTTTCAAGAGCATTCAAGTTGAAATTCAACATACGAACTAAAGTGGTTTAGCAATGTACACTTCAACATACCTCCTGGGTGGGGTGGGTATAATTTTAACGCGAACTGGCAGTTTGATTGTGGATCGCCGGGGTTCTATGTCAGATTCCTAAAAAAACAAAATATAAGCAAACAGAACATTAACGGATAAAAAACACATCTACAAAGGGAAGAAGTAATAATTCTTCTTGTCGCTTCATGCTTTGAAACCAGGATAAACTATTGCTGGATGAGCCATTTGGCTCGAGTACACACTTTACTAGGACCTTTCATTCGGCAGTCATATCTCTTGTGGCGATCCAAAATCGTACATCAAAAAACACAACGCGAATGACAACCTACCTGTGGAGGGGACACGACTGTAAGTGACACGTGACCTTGCGCGATGCCTTCCCATGATTCAGCTTTCTTAGCAGGCGTAATAACTACAGCCAGATATCCAGACCATGGCCACAAGACAGAGGAGTATGAAAATCCGACCTGTAAGAAGTAACTGTCTTAATTAAGATCAAAACCATCGTCCTGTGTTTGCATGTTCACGGGCAAAGTCACTTTCAAAAACTACATTAAATGTCGGTGTGCTTCGTCTCAGAGTATTACAAATAAAAAAAACTAAGATAGCGACACACATTACAATACTCTGTGCAGCTTAAGATGCAAAATAAGGCAACAAGCCATGCCTCTTTGTCTATTGAACTGAATAAGCTGCAACGATTTATGTGCATGTAGGTCCCTGACAACAATTGGTAATACTCAGTCTATTAAGTATATAAGCTGTTTAAGGATAACTCCTCGATTGCCCAAAAGAACTATCACTTGGCGATAGGGCGAGCAGCAAACAGCTGTGAAATTTTGGAAGCACTCTATCTAGTGGTGAAACACTTTCCTCTGATTTATCAAGTTTTATTTGTTTTCTTATCTTCTGTTAATAACGCACATTATCAGGTCAATTTCCCTTAACCTTACAATTCGCCACTCGAACCCAGTCACGTTACAGTGTTTCTCAAACAGCGCTTGGCCCCGAGCGAACACTGTATTGTAGGTTACAAGTAAAGACTTACAGTATGTCAATCTTACCTGGATATAGTCGCCATTCTGTGGTAAATAAGGATGCCACGTCGGCTGTGGGAGAGTACAGAGATAAATTTAGGTAACATGAACAAGAACTGTAAACATCACAGCAATATAGCCCTATTCACCCTGGTGAGAAATTTCCCAAGGTGAGTCATATCAAAGCAACAGAGCGCTTTTCGATTGGGTGCCGTGAAACCAAACTGAAAGTTATCACTACGACCAATCAGATGAGAAGACAATACTCTAGAGAACCAATGAGGACTCAGGGTAAAACAATGAAAACTTCCCAAAGCGCGGGAAAACGCGGGTGACCAAGTTGAGATAGGTTTTTGTTTTGCATATGATTGGTTGAGAGAATTGCGCGAGTTTTCTGGGCCAATCACAGAGCGAAGTAAAGAAAAACTAATGCAAACCTTGATTACTTTCGACAATCAATTGAAAACTGCTCTAAAAAGAAAAATAACGAACAAACCCAAAATCAAATAATGAAAAATATCAAGGGTACCACGACTTACTTTCCCTTCAATTTGCCCAGTTACACCCATTCCGTTCAAAATGGTGATCTGTAAACAGAGACAAAAATAACCAAAGTGTTTGTCGCACTAATAAATTTTATTAACAACGATATCATTACCCCCTTTATTACACCCATTTCGCTGGTGGTCCCTGTTGGCTCTAAATGATGCGATTTATTAACGAATCGCACCATTTTTTGCCTTAAATCGCATCTTTTTCCAGCCAATGAGGAGGCTACACTAAAAACAAATTTCCAAAACTCTTATTTCCCCCCCAAAAAATGGATGAATTTAATTTCAAACCAGCTAAGTACTACATCAATAAAATATTTGAGCTGACCAAATCCTGTATTTGGGCGATTTCAAAATGGTTGTAATAAAGTGGTAATTGAATTTCGTGTCGTGCAATTTTGGCCTGAAATCATACTTATGATTTCAAATTGAACTCGCACTGCACGTTCGTTCGATTTTGAAATCACGCGTATGATTTCAGCCCAAATTGCACTCCACTCAGTTCAATTACCATTATAAACATTATACCGCATACTTACATTAACAATGGTTGGCATTCCACCATAGTATAAGGGTTGCGTGCAGTATGGCCACATGTAAGGACACTCGGTTAAGTCGATGTAAGCTGGACTCAAACTGTAAGTTACAAGAATAAAAACAAAATTTATTTCATGCTGAAAGACAGCAGAAATCAAAATTTACAATTTTCACGAGCTTGCGATAAGCGATAGTTTCAGGCCTAAACATACAATAATATGTGTATTATACTCTTTCCCCCTTGTTTTTTTCTCTGCTTTTTTCAGAAAGGATTTCATATCGGCTCTTTAGTGTTTATTTATTGAGGTGTCTTGTGATGATAATATAAACCTACCTGGCCTGTGGTTTGTAATTGCTCAGAATTTGATAAGCTTTGATAAGATCGAGCTTGCCATGACCTGGAATCAAAATAGTGAACAGTAAGATCAGGGTAGCGTGGATGGCGCATCGGCAAGAGCTCTCGTCTTTCATCGTTGTAGCCTGGGTTCGATTCTCGAACCTGACGTCACAGGACCGGGTTCCGCGGGCTTAAACGCTCAAAACGGCAGTTTGAAAACTCTCTACGGTGGCCAATTTACGTTATCAACTCAGTTGATAATACCAGATTACCCTGCAATTCCAGTTTCGACCTTTACACACTTTAATTTTCTCACAAGTACCTTGTTCAAAAATGTTAAATCCTGGAAGACGGCGAGCTGAAGCCATTAGAGCTTGCTTGACACTCGCTGGGTTTACATTGTTTCCACGATGTTTAACAGCACTGAAAACGAAGAAAACAAAACGTCACTTGTAAATGTACTGTCAGTCCTTAGTCCTCACTAGTGATCAGTTACGAACAATATAAGCAGAGTTGATCGTAAAGTCTGATCGTCCGGGTGAGAGAAGCCCTGGGTAAGACTGTTAAGATGACTTCTGGGGGGGGGGGGGGTGTACTGTGAATTTGCTGGATTTACCTGAGTAAAAGAGAGACTGCTCCTGCCACAACTGGCGACGCAACACTTGTCCCAGATAATGAGCGGCATCCACCTCTGTAAATGGCACCAAAAGAAAACAATAACGTGTTTCATGTTTATCAAGGTTCTTGGTAATGTACGAAGTAGATGCCTGGGTGTAAGAAGTGAATGAGCTAGATAGCTTACAATTCAAGGAACAATGTCAAAAGCCAATAACGAGGTATCGGAGTACATGTTTGTTCCGCCAGAAAATATTTGCAAAATTAGAGGCTTTGATCAAATGCTACAGTATTTTACACATTCTCATGCATGCGAGGCAGTATGACACTTTTCTTTTCTTTTTTTTTTGGCAGGATGAAAAAAAAACCTTATTAAAAATTCACTAGTACGCACACCAACGACAACAAGTAAACGAAATGCAAAGAAAACATCCTAAAAGTTGAATGTATGTAGTGAAGGAAACCACTTACTTGAGGCTTGAGCCTCGCACCCCTGAACCGTACGTAACAACATCTGGTTTGACTCGCCCATATCCTCCTGGTAGTTCCTGAGGATCAAAACGAAAAAAGATAGGTTGGTGATACTCTGACATTGAAAATCCTCCTATTGTACACGTAGGTGAAAATGAACTTTTCCTTACCCATGTCGTCATTCCCCTGGAAGAAAAACGTGCAATATGGTCTTCAAAGTTGATACCACCGACTCCGATGACATCCATCTGATCAGCGGGATTGTTTAAAGTTCTATCATCCAAACATAAACACAAAAAATATAGGTTGATTAATAAGAGCACGTCTAGCAACACTCAAATTCTGCAAACAAGCAGCGCCCATAACAGTGATTTAACAGAGAAATGAGTAGCATCTTAATGGAGTTGAAAGTGATATGGGATCGTCAAAGTAGTGGATATAACGCAACAATGTAAAATCGATCTTGCATTGCACGATATTCATTTGATGAAAGGTACAGTTGACCTCAGATACACACTGTAACTTAAACCTTCACTTACTTAAACATCAGGCATCAAACTCAAACTAAGCTCTTCACCCCCTGGATTTCTGTCATAAATTCACCCTAATTCCACCTTTATCTTTAAGAACCAATTTTTGTCTCCCTTCAAGTCATTTTGTGTTTAGAATTACACAGTTTTGTTTCTTACCCATACAATGGGCCATCATTACCGATGGCAGAAACCATTACAACACCATTTGCAGTGAGCTCCCAGACCTAAGACAAAAGTTACAAAGCAAAAAAAAAATTTAAGAGAAATTATTTTCCATAAACTCCTGATGACCTTGAATACACGTGAACGTGTGCACGACCTTTAAATACACACTGTAAAAACTAGGGATTTTTCGCCACCAAAACACAGGCACTAAATAAAGAGTGAAATGACATCCAAGCCACTACATTGTGCCTTTCGAATTATTATGTCTTGAATTTTTTTTTGATAATTATCTCTTCCTCATTCAAATTACAAAACTTGTCAAATGTTTTCCAACAACTCAGAGCAGTTACAACATGTAAAGATATCTCTGTGCAACTTTTATTTACAGACGAACTTTCATGAACATCTGAAGATAGTTCAGAAACAAAAGAGGAACTGTTGCTTTCACATGTGTACAAGTACAATGAATGTGTACATGAAAACCTACTTATGTCCAGAAATGAATGCCGAAAAAAAAAAAAAAAAAAAAGGCAGATTTGACAGAATTTCATCAAAATGAGCAAATATTTACGGATTTGACCATTTTGACAAATTTTTGCCATTTTTGTTAATGCATGCATTTCTGAACATTGAATGCCAGTACAGACACAGCTTCTGAACAAACCTTGTCAACAAAAGGCTGATCCATGAAATCAGGTCCTCCAATGCTCAGGTTCAGAACATTCACTTTTTTCAGGATTGCATAGTTAAAAGCATCCAGAAACCAAGACGTGTAAGACACCTAAATGTACAGATAATACACATGTAAAAAGGTGGTGTTACATGAAGTGAGAAATAGCTATTTTAATAAAAGAATTCCGTTGGAAAATGATAGATCAATTCTATATTCTGATTATGAAGTCGCATTAATATGTAACAGTTTGAAGAGTGATTGAAATGAAAGTTCAATTACAATAAAGCCTATTCTTTAAAACGATAAACCGCCAACAACAGAAAAAACAAAACATCTACCTCATACATACCAATGAGGCAGATGTATCAAGCTTATGCACGCACATGCGATTTTTTGACGCACAGATTTTTTTATTTGCAATTTTATGCAATTTTTGGTGTACTTTATTTGCATTTTTCAGTTAACATATGAGCGAGCCATGCTGTATGTTTACAGTAACAATAGTGAGAAAAACATCAATGCATGCCACAAACCAGTGCACTACCTGACTATTGGTAAAAACTCTGAAAATGTGAAGCTCTGCATCAGGGGCAAACCCTAAACATTCCCGTGAACTTGCCACAACACCTGCAACAAAGGTTCCATGGCCAAGACCTACAAAATAAGAAAGGCATTTAGGTGAAGATTTCTCCATGGGTCACCAATATCAAACATTTAACAGCCTCCTGTATTTTGTTTAGTTGCATTTTCTGTGATAATGTGTGTCAAATAAACTTGGTTGGGATTTCTTCAGTAGAACCTTAAAGTCCCATGGTCAAAAGATGCACACTTCCTATTGGTCTACATGTACATGATTGTATAATACAATTATATCTTGCTTTATAACAGCAAACAAGAAACAAAACAAAAGGCAATTTGTGATCTTACCATCATCAAGGGTCTTTTCCTCTGTCCAGTTTGTCCTGTCCATGACCTTTCTGAAGTGTGGATGATTCTTTGGCAAACCAGTGTCAAAAATGGCTACTTTAACACCATCACCTTAAAAAGAATCCATGTAAACATTAAGCATAAATTTACATGTGTATATGTTTTTTTTTTAATTTTTTAATCACAGTCTACTGGTTAAACTTTGAGAAAATTTTGAGAGTTTTAACCCTTTAATACCTAAGAGTGACAAGCATCTCACTTCTCCTTACAATATCTCTCTGAAATTACAGGTTAATGTCAAGAGAATAGAGGAAATGATCACCAACTAGAGAACCTCTTGACTATGAACCAAATTCTCCTTTTCAGTACTTTAAGAAATATATAGAGGACAGTAAGGAGAATATGCATACTGATGTTAGGGTGTAAAGGGTTAAAAACAATGCTCATAAACAGTTTTGTTGTAGAACAAATTATTCAAACACTTTTGAGTACCTGTGTGGCCCATACTCCAGAGCACATCAGCTTGTAACACATGAACAATCTGGAATAAAATATAAAAAAAAGAAAGCCAGCTAATGAGTGAACAGAAGGCAAACAAAGTAGCTTAGGGAAACACAATGAACCATGAAAAAAAAAGAAATTATTACAATGATAACAGAACGTGCAAATATGTATTTGCATCATTTAAATGTACCAGTTGGTATCTTATAGCACATTTGACTTGAATTTGAAGTCTACATTGTGGTTTATTTTATTTCCTTAATTGGAATTCTCTCAACAAGTTCGACTTAAAATCTTAAATACAAAACAGAGAAAATCATAAATCTAACCAGTGTGAAAAATGTCAAAGTAAGACAGAATTTGAGCCCCTGAGATTTACCACTAGGCCATAACATCCTCAGTGAGAATGAATATGTACATGCACCAATACTAGTAATGTTTTATATGTGTATCTGGGTCTTCATCATTTTTACCTGTCTTGGGACAGATCTGAGGATTCTTCTACCAGGGTTGTGACGAAGCTGAGACTGAATAAGGCTGTGACTCTGAAAAGATTGATGCACACAATTGGTTGACAATTAAATTCATACTTTGGATATTCATTTTTTTTTTGGTCTGTCTCTAAACACTGCATTCCTTAGCAAACTGTGAAGATAAAACGCTAGAGACCAAAACTCACCAATGCTAGACTGGAGCGTGTTGTCCTCCTGTCCAAAATAAATCACATTGATACAAGTAGTTTAAGATGCATACAAATTTGTAAGGCTCACTTTAAAAGAGAGAAGAAATGAACATCAATTTGGAAAAAATGCTGTATTATTTATAACCCTTTAACTCCCAGACCTGATCAACATGCCACTTCTCCCAATAATATCCATACATTATTTAGCAAACAGGTGATGAGAATACTCAAACTTATCGCAAAGAAGTTGTCATTCTTGATCTAACACCAAGTTCTCGTAACTAATTTACATGAAAATGTGTGGCAGGTAGAGAGGAGAATTAACAATCATATCTTAGGAGTTGAAGGGTTAATGTAAACATGTACATGTACCTTGCGCTCCACACCTGTGACCAACAACCAACATCCTGTTCTGCACAGTCTGCATCTGCACTCCGTTCAGTTTCCTTCTTCAGTTCATCCTCTTTCACTACAAGTGAGAGATTCTCATGAGTAAATACATTGTACATGTCTATTTGAGAATCTTAAGCAAAAGCTTTTTTAAAGCTGAATTCAAGGGAACTGATTCACTGGCAAGATTTAATGGCTTCCTTTTTACAAACACACAAGCACAATGCAGCACTTGAATATTTATGCACATCTTATATGACACCGAGTTAAAAGTCAGCAAATTGTAATGCTGGTACATGTACCTTCTATGCTCTTGAGAAATCTTTCAACTCTCTTTTGCGGTGTAACACTTCGGACCTTAGGATGTCTCTTTAGTGCATCAACACCACTTCTTGTGTCTCCTTTCAACTGTTGATAACAAGTTCATGTGCAAGTGAGAAAGTTCAAAATTAACCCTTTACACTCTAACATCAGTATGCATATTCTCTATACTTTCTCTATACATGTCTTAAGGTTCTGAAAAGGAGAATTTGTTTAACAATCAAGAGCTTCTTTAGTTGGTGATCATTTCCTTTATTCTCATGACCTTCATGTTTCATTCAGGGTGATCTTGTAAGGAGAAATTAGATGTCAGTCACTCTTAGAGGTTAAAGGGTTAATGAACTGAAAGACAATTTAACCTACAACTTAAATATTGAGTCAATGAACAAGTTGAGATTTCATTTTGCAACCAAACTTTGAATTCCTGGAATTCTAAAGCCTTATAAGTATCTGTTGTTTTAGCCTTGCCCTCTGACATAAATATGTTCATAACCCTTTCACTCCCATGAGTGACCAAGACAGAATTTCTCCTTACAATATCAGTACAACATCAAGCAGACAAGTAACAAAAATAAAGAAATATATCAATAAGGGGATTATTAAGGTAACCGGTCATTTCGCACAAAAGACTTTTCGCACAAGTCTTTTAGCACAAATTTTGGACCATTCGCACAATTCTTAGTGATCATTTCGCACAATAATCATAAGTGAGAAACATCAATATAAAAGGTATACTGATTGATACTGATAAGACATTTCACCTTCACATGATCCAACGGCGAGAACGTAGACATTTATTTACGTAATAACTTCAACTAGATCAAAATGCTCGTGAACATGATCACTATTCTTTCTTGAAGAAAGGAAAGGTACAAATCTCTCTCTCCATGAATATGTAAGGAAAGGTAAAAGAAGTAATCGTTCGAATAGGGAGTTCTTTACATTTTCATAGAGAGAAAGATTTGTTCCTTTCTTCAAGTAAGAATAGTGATCGTGTTCACAATCGTTTCGATCTAGTTGAAGTTATTACGTAAATAAATGTCTACGTTCTCACAGTTGGATCTTATTGAAAGTGACATGTGAAGGTGAGATGTCTTATCAGTATCAATTAGTATACCTTTTATATTGATGTTTCTCACTTATAATTGTTGTGCAAAATGACCACTAAGAATTGTGCGAACGTTCCAAAACTTGTGCTAAAAGACTTGTGCGAAAAGTCTTAAGTGCGAAATGTCCTGTATGCAATTATTAATTAGTAAGGGGAATTAATCATGAGATCCTCAGAGTGAAAAGGTTAAGAGGCACTGGCTTCATTAGAAATAGTGACTGGTTTTATATTGGAAAAGAAAAAAAAAACATCAAATCTCTCAACTGCTTCGTGGTAAAATGGGAACCGCTCAAAGAATTATTTGTCAACTTCACATACCTTTACAAGAGAGAAGTCACTTGGGTAGTCACTGGCAGGATTATGCCGAGGGATAATTTTCCAGGATTTAACAGAGGACAAATCAAGGGCTGACATGACATATCCATCCCTAGCTGAAGTGGTATAGTATCCATTGAAGACAACAATGTATTCTACAAAAAATTACAAAACTGTTATCATAAGATTAAAAACTGAGTGTCAGAAATACATGTGTTCAGCTAATGAGAAGAAATATTTATATATTGACGAGAGTTAACAGAAAATTATCTACACTAGAATTAGAGAAAATGTATGAAAAAAAATTAGGAGAATTGATTTCATATCTTCACCGTGAAATGGTTAAAACAAGCATGGCCATATGAACACTCAGGTTGTGCAAAATCAATCACTTCAATAATAAAATCATCATCATCCAATCATTAGTTTTTGGTAAATTGTTTGGAAACAATAAAATGATTGGCATTTTACTCTGCTTTCTAATAAAGAAGAGAGATTAGCAACATTGGATTTGATTAAGTCCCTAATATGTTAATTACTCCATATGAAGAGCTACGACTGTCTTTTACTTCTAAATGTACTTTGACTTCCACTCCAGTTAAATACACCATTTCTATCAAAAGGCAAATGCTCATGCGATTAACTCAACCACATGGAAATTTAGAGGTAAGAATAGTGAAATTAACCTTATACCTGGTTTTGTGATTTAATCTGTACATGTAAGTGAAAACCTTTACAATAATTTTAGCAATTTTAAATTCATATTTCAGACAGTAACAAATTTACATCTTCAAGATGGTGTAATTATAAGAATTATCGTTCTGCAAGATTCTCAATCGCTACTTTGCAAGAGAACGGTGTTTCTAATAAATCACGAGGTTCTGAAATCACACTTGTAAAAGCCCGATTGGTTTGCGCTGTTTCGTAAGGGCAATCACTGAACTCACTAAGGGGCTTCACATTGACTTTGATGCAAAATCACTGTAACGACCACTTCATCTCAATTTCCACACCACTAAAAGTTCTACACTAAACCTAAATCTTCAAATATCTCCATCTTAACTTGAAGTATTCTCATCGTAGATATAAAATAACATTTGATGATAAACGCAGAAAACGTGCCTTTTAAATCCAAATAGTAAAGACCATTCACATGTAAGAAAGACGAGTCTACACACACACACACACATCCTGTTTACAAAAAGAAACTCTCGATCGAGGCGACTCAAATGATGTTCTCACCGTTTTCGACAACGGAGGTCTTGTAATCGAAGAAGGATTCCTTTGCGACGGAAGGCGATGAAGAATTACGAGAACAGTTTTCGAACGGTGTTTCATGAGACGAGTTAACAAGAAGGCATGAAAGACAAAACATCACCCAACCGCGTCGCCACCGACAGCCATGCTTCTTTCCCGTGGCAGGCATGGGCCTAAAGTAACGTTCATCAATCGTCTGCTAAAGCCAGTCCATCTCAGTCGAGAAAAGCGGATAGAGAACTCGATGTTATAGGAAACTACTATCTTCACTTGAAATGCTCTTCACACCATTAAAACATGAAATGGTTTTGGAAGGTAATCATGTGACGGTGACATCTAGCCGTGATTGGCTGAATCTCCCGGCGCACGGAAACAAACTGACCTTGTGAGGAATGTAGTTGACCATCAATAGCTTTGCGAAGGAGTTATTGCCATGGGTAACTCACTATTTTCATGTTGGGAAGACAAAAAGAAATCAGCTGAGCTACACACACAAACAAAGTGCGAATAGGTTTTAATATTATTTACTAGTCGTACTTAAGAGAGAATTAAAAAAAAAAAAAGGAAAAAGAAAGAAAGAAAAAGGGAAAAAATGAAAGGAATAATAAATAGATTTTTCAAACGTATTAAAGGATTGGTACGATAAACTGTAAATCACAGAGGATGAGGAAATTTGGGTGAGAAAGTGCTCAAAGCTGGGATGGAAGACTTCCACGTGTTATGGTAAATGGGAAAAAAAAAACCAATATTTGATAGAAGACTCCATATGGCAACAAACGCGGAGTAGTGGTCAGCGGTTTCCAACAGAAAAGTCAAGGGCAGAGCGTAATCCAACTGAATCTGAAATCAATTTCAAGAAAGCAAAATAAAAACAATCAAACCGACAAAAGTATACAAACAAACAAACAAACTTAAAAAGAAAAGATGTTCATGATCATTCAAACCATACGGCCTAGTATTTTTCTCTGTTTCTTTTACGGCTGTCATCCGGATTCATCACGCAACACGCTCATTGCGTGAGAGAGTGCGTGATGCATAACGAGCCAAAGAAGGAGAATAGATTTGTAGATATTATCTTTGTACCCCGTTCCACAGTTCTAGTTCATAACATATACCCCAGAATTACCAGAAAGGCGATGAGAGGAGCGGGAGGGTGGGGTGGAGGAGGGAGCCCACAGACCCGCAGACCCCAATCTTCATCAGCTTTCGTGTGCCCGAAGCCCTGCTTTTCCCTTAAGCAGGGACATGCCTAGAAATTTTTTTTATCTATTTGTAGTTCTTCGGAAATTTTCAAAAGCTACTGAACAACCAAAATAAGGACTTCCTTAGTTGTGGAAACGCAAGTGGACGCAAGCACATGCGCTGCGATGCCGTTACACACCATCTACCACAAACAGCTCAAAAATGATGAAATTAATAAACCCTATCCCCTCCAATTATATATATTTAATTTGCATTACTGTAAGTTAAGTCTTTCTATTTTGGGAATAGTGACAGGAGAAAAGTGATCCTGAAAGTAGTAACATCGGAGATCGGACATGCCGCAACCAATTCCGAGAAATTAAGGAAATCAGATACGATTCATGACGTGTAAGTGTCACCGTCCAAAGGTCCCAACTGCAAGAGTAAGAAGAGGCTCTTCGGAACTTAAGATTATTGCAGCGATTCGGCATTGCGATCAGTTGGAAAACATAAAAGTCAAATGGGTTTCCACTTTGTAAGCAGTGGTCAAGAATTCACAGACGTTACTTTTAATAATATTTGTGATAATGCGACCAATAACGACATTAACTCGACAGTATTCGCATCTCAACTCATCACCGCAAGTTGTGCTGCGGCATTCTATTTGGTTATGTTCTTCTTGGGCATTCTCGGTGTCTGGTTCCAGCCCTGTCTTAGAGTTTCTTCTTCGCAAGGAGCACTCTTCGCATTTTTCGTGGGGGCACTAATTACCTGTATAAATGTATTTACAAATGCGCACAACCTCTTGGTGAAGTTGAGCTTCCGGCTTTTCACAACAATACTTATTGGAATAATTTTCATAATCTTTGGTGCCTGGCGTTTCTTTGAAATGCCAAACAGAGCTCGAGGAGAAGCCAACCCACAGGGGAATGATAGACCGCCCCTCGGTAAACAACAGCCTTCCATGGGTCTGGTAGTTTCCTTGTTAACCTTTCCTTTGGTCATTATCGAGATTGTGCTGATTTGCGCATCGTTTAGCTCCAATATAACGGACGAGAAGAAAAGAAGCTTGGCGTATAAAGAGCGGCGCTTAGTTAACGCGGACAAGACTGTTTTCCTTATTCAGAAGATTTTCCAAGTTGTTACCTATTTGTATCTGCGGAACACTACAATTTCCCAGGGATACGAAGAGAACGTTCGGTTTTATTTTAGATTATTATCTTTTTTCAACTTCATCGAGTGGATAGACCCGCAAAAAAATATAGACAACGACGTAGCTTTAACTGGAATCAGGGCAGAATTTGACGGCTGGTTCAATTTATTGACAGTGCTATACAAAGCATTGATCATAGATTATCGCTTATTGTGTGCACTACTGTTTCTTGAACATTCTGTTGAAGTTCAAAATCACGCGGACCCGGCCGATGAGAATGACAATGGCGGTGGTAATCAAGAAATGTCGCCTTGTGATGAAGTCAAAAGAGCATTCGGATTTGCTCTTGGCAGCTTCTGCCTCGTAGCCCCTGTCTTCAGTGCTTTATATTTTGTGTCTGCATTCAATCTAAAAGAAGGGGTCAATATGTTTGCCATTATTGTCAACATAGTAGTCGTTGTTTGTGGAATTTGTCTGCTCTGCTTCAACGAATTGGCGGAAGTTCCCAATCACCTTAGAGAATCGCAAGGTGTTAAAATAATGGTAAGTCTCTGTAAATTTCTTTGACAACTTAAAAAAAATGATTGATTGAAGTGAATATTTTGGCCTTCTATGAGCCTCTTACAGTCTGCTTCGATGCCTCGACCCATCACACCGGAACCTTTTTCCGAGAAAATTTGTCTGTTAAAGATGTCAGCGACGTTTTGTCATCGACATTGTCCTGAGTCTATGTGAACAACTAACCTATCATTCTCCACTGCGGTCAGTTCACGTTTATGGTCGATGCACCCACGCAACTTCAGGGTAAAATCCAGTAAAAGACCAGTTTGAATGCCAACTAGAGCCATGAAGCCGAGTAATTATGACAACTTATTTTTTATAATATACCTCAGTGAGGTGAAACCGAGATTTTACAAATTAAATTGTTATGATTACTCGGCTTCATCGGCTCTAGCTAAGATCGCTTCGGGAAATGTTTAATTTTGGTATATCGAATATGAGACACTGTGCATGTCGAAGTGAACAAGCTCAATAGCAGGCAATACTCCAACCTTTTCTTCTTTCCTCTGATAGGTTTGTTGTCTGGGTGCTGTAGGATTTACATGCTGGTTCGTGGAGGCAGTCATAGCTTGTTTTTGGGCTGCTAAAGAGAAACACAGAGGCGATATCAGCAATCTCCCCCGGCCATACATCCCTTGGACTGCCGCTAAGTTTATTATACGAAGTATAACAACAGCATTCCTCATTTTCTTGTTCACCAACATCAACGCCCGAGCTTTGCCCGTACTAAATCAGAGCACTAAAAACTATGTTCTTGTACCTGCTGTGATGTTAGGGGTGCTCTCCATGTTTGGAGAGGGTTTGGTTGACCAAAAATTTGGACCAGTGGATGATCTTCTCAGGTTTGTAAGCGTTGAGCATCACAAAGTTTAATGTATTCTAAAACAGTGGATAGCATTGAAGGCGCGCTCTGATTGGCTACTCAAACTCCAGATATCCTTTGCTATTCACCACCGAGTAACTTACGTGGGATTTGTTCCCGAAAATTAATGTAATCGTTGCAGGAATGTCGGTGGGTAGTGCTGGATATTTACCTTGTTGCGTCGCGGCTCGATCGGTAAATATCCACCGCTAACCACATCCTCTTCGGTCAATAGTTGTTGCCAATAAACAATCGGATCGTTTACGGGTGATAATTTATTTCTAAATTTGCACTTTAGTTATTTGATTACTTGTTAGTGATTTATATTTAACTTCAACATTTTGCTACCAATTTCCTGCTCTGTTTGTGATTGATTGACGTGCTCTCAGCCAGTCAGGCATGCTAAAATATTTGCACGTGTAAAATAAGGCGCGCCACTGAACGATGCTTTATCAGTCAGCTTTCAAAATCAACCTCGTACCCAGATCTCCTGCTTTTCTTTCAAGGGATTTCTTTCGAGACTTGGATCATTGTGTTTTGATGTAGTACAAGAAATTTAACTCCCATATTGCCCCTTTCCACCCGCAGTACAAATGACTTCTGGAGACAGCCAGGGAAACCTAACCAAATGTTTGGTGGGGGAAAACTTACAACGGACTGGCATTCTATACAGGGGGAGTAAAAAACCCCTCTAATCGCTGCATGCTATAGAAAATAGGTTAACCTCCTGCTGAATAGGCAACTTTACTCGATTGCACTTAATTTTTAATGTAGCTGAAATTTAAGTTTTGTTCAACAAAGGGAAAAGTTCGCGTAACCAAGGATTCAAGTTAATGATTTTCGGATGTAAAGGTTATATATTTGTCAAACATTATTCGGCATTTTAATCCTAACAAAAGCCATCATCCCTCTATTCTGTCCTTCACTAGGTTGACTTACATGCCAGTTTTGTAATAAATGTATTGGGAATTCGATTTAAAACCTCCCTAACTCGCTCTTTGATTCACTGTTTAACCCAAACTGAAACCGTATCGAGGTGTGGCTCTGTTTGGTTCGGGCGAATTTTTCTTGGTTGTCTCGGCAATTTGTCATTTAAACTTTAATTTTTGACTCATTTGCCTTCACAGGTGTGAAATCAAAGACGAAGGCCTGAAAATTCTGTTTAACGTAGGCCCACCAATGCACCTTGGTTTCCTTCTTCACGTGTTTCTTTACTTTATCATCATACAAACACGTTTACGAAACTGCCCGCCACAGCAAGAGCAAGAGCCAGTGAATCCGGGGCAAAGGGACGGCCCGATTTGGGGCCGTGGCCGGGGATTGGGACGTGGCTGGGGTCCGCAGCTGGAGCCAGGACAGTTTCAGGGACGGGGTCACGGTAGGGGCCGCGGGCGTGGCTGGAGAAACACCTAGGGCAGGGGCTGGTTTGCATTATTTTTTTCCTTGAGCTTAAGTTCACTAACCGTTGTTATCTCGAGTGATTTACCTATGCTATGTTAGGCTTTTGGGACGAATGATCTCTCCTCCTGCCTTGTTACTGTTTTAAATACATTGATTTCTTTGCTTAAATGAATTGATTCCTTAGCTCAATGCAAAAACGAGAAAAACTGCGGCACTAAATAATCTCTTGATCGTTCATGGTTAAACAAGGGGAAAATACGTTGCTTTACCTGGAATTAGTTGATAGAGTAAAGTTTCCCAGAATTTTCCCAGGTTCAGAGGTGCCTTCTTCATCTGTTCGTAGTTGTAATTACTGAAATTTTGAACGATCCGAAGAAAATAATATCAGTCAACACCAAAGTTTGACTGGGTGGTGTTTTAGTGTCGGGCGAGACCATACTCAACCTGTTGAGAACCAGTCGCTATTTCGCGTAAAAGGAATTACCTGAGTTATAATGACCCTCTTGGGACCTGTATCACATTCAGGACCACCGCTTAAATCTCTTAATTTTTAAAAATTGTATAATGTGATTCACTCAGAAATCTTTTATTTTGTTTATCACTGTTTCCATAAAGTGATCGAGTCCTCCATGATTTTTCAAGCCAATATCTTCTGTTAAATCGTATTTTTCATGTCAATCGCTAAATGGAAATCCGTTTGCGAACTCAGTTCAAACTACTCAAAATAGTATTAGTTAAGTCGAGTCGTTGTAATTGTACTAGTACCAACATCTGAAATTCATTCATTGGCAATTGAAATAAAGCAAACTACCCCGCTTCCTTGGTCCTGTTGGTTTGGTGAAACTTTAAAATACTTCATGATTGACGTCTATGTTATTGCTAATTCCTATTTTCTTACATAATTTTCATTAAAATACTGCGTATGCGTATGCAATTAAGTTATCATTGTTATTTTTGACCTCTGTAAAATTTCATATTTGCAAGAGCCGAAATAAACAAAATTAAATTTTTTTTTAATTGAATTTGTTGCCTCGGATGTCAAGGGTAAATGCTATTTGACGCTTAGTAATTCTTGACTGTCCATTTATCTATTTCATGCGGATACAGTTAATTGACTTCGATCCCAGTTATAGAAAAACCGTTTCGTCACTCTCCTTATATGCACTCACAATCTTTCAGCCCACATTTCGAACGAACATGTCGGACACGTTAAATAATTTCAAATCGGCACTCTTAATCCCTATGGTATCAACGAAAGCTTTTAATTCAACTGATTTATCACTTTTGTTTCATGTTATCGAACTCGCCTCCCACCGTAACCACCGTCCTGACTCCAAAATATCATTACTTTTACGGAATATATTTCTACCCACAGAATTAGGACTACAGCTTTACCTTTGTTCTCTGACTATCTAATTGACACACGAAAGTTCTTACAAGAAAGGGGGGGGGGTGGGGAGATGAAGCAGGGTGGGTGTCTCTTTCCGCAAAGGTAACATCAAGAAGAATTAAAATGGGCCTTGGTAAAGAGTTTCTAAAGCTGACTTTTCAAGCTTTGGCGGCCCTTCATCATAGCCAGTAGAGGAATTGTGGGTTATGTGTGTCTATATGTAGCCTACGTGTAGCCCTACCCTCCCCTTCCCCGAGGAGAAAACCACCGCAGCCCCATTTTTCTGCATATAGATTAGCATACGCGTTTCCGCCTACCCTCCCCCCCCCCACTTTACCTCCGTCCCACCTAAGGGAAACAGAAGGGAGATCAATTGAAATTTTCTTCTGAGGACAATAAACATTGACTGATAGAGATTGAAAAGCCGGCTTTAATACAAATACTGGGTATAAATTCATACAAAGCACCCGTTGCCCAAATTATAATCATAGAATACCCATGGCCAACTCGTGCATAAAGTTTTGGAGGGGACAAGAAAGGCGTGATTTTTTGCTCGATAACATGAAATGTATAAGCGGTACGAAGATAGTTTGAATTTTAATAACTGGCACGCTAACGGCAAAAATGGACATCAAAATCCTAAACGCTGGTAAACACGAAGATGCTCAAATCGACACCGTGAAAGCTTTGATGGTTTAAAGCGACGATATCAATCAACCGTGGACGATTCGTTCAATAAAATTTGCCCGACAACGCGGAGTGAAGCTGCACGAAGATGGGTTTTGGCTTAATCCCCTTGAGAAATTGAAAGTTGGAAGCGCGCACTAGCGGTGGAAATGGCCACTGATATCGTAAAAACGATGATGCTGCAATGGAAACCGTAACAAAACGAGTACACCGCCCTGAGAAGACAAAACCCATCCTATATTTTATTCCTCAAGTCTTCATTTTTAAAAATAAATATATGTAGCAGTGAATTTCACAGGTTTTTAGTCAGAAAAGCACAAGATTATCTTCGTCCACTTCTGATCGATTCACCCGCCAATATATTTACAGAAGATGATCGAATTTAATCACGCTTCTTGATTTGCATCAGATCATAACCAATCGAAGCGTTACTATGTAAAGAAGGGTCACCAACGTTTTGGGGGCGGTTAATTTCTACTGCAATGTGGTTTTATGCTCGGGAGAACGACTACTTGCCACAGTGTTTACATCTCAGTGAGAGAGTGTGTGACTCATTTGCATATAGGGGTCGCCATAAAAACCCGGGATCAATATCGGTATCTGGGCAACTGCCCACTTACCCCTCCCCTAACCCAACAACAGTCAATTGATGACAAGTTAGGGTTAATTTTGGGTTAGGGAAGGGGTAGGTGGTCCGTTTCCCAGATACTGATATGGATCCAAAACTCGTTTGCATGAGTTAAAAAGGTTAACACACAAAGAATTCCTTGAAAATTTTTAGATCATACAGCGTTTTCTTTATGGTGTTTTTGTTCTCATGGTGTTCGGAAAATGCATTTTCATCTTCGTCGCTCACCGCAATAAGTCTTGCGGCGTCTATTATTCTAAACAACGAACACACCAAGTTCATTCAGTCGAATTCAGCAAAGTTTGAAAAGGCGGAAATCGTGACATCGTTGTGTTACATACCAAAAATTAGCCACTCGATTCCCGGATGAAGTAGTCGCATTACTTCTACGAATGTTTTAATTCTTGGTAAAACAACATCGTCCGTATAATAATTTGAGGAAACGCTCCTTCCACAAACACGTCATTTAATCTCTGATTGGCTTCTTATATCTTTAGCCTTTCTTTTAGGGGCTAACGACTGGAGAGAAGCAATTTCAGAATACTTAATTTGATTCTTGGACCAGGAGTAACGAGGGAAAGACTCACCACATCCAATTCTCCGAACCAACTAGCAAAGAGAGAAGTGAAGGATTCTTTGAATCTTGTATATACTAGTGAAGTCTAGCGATCTGAAAAACTTGTCAAGTCAAAATGTCTTTCCCGCTTGTCAGTATTGCTCAAGGAACAGAATTAACATCGAGGAAGCTCAATGTGTGTGGTTATGTCACCGAAAGCGACAAGAACTCGGTAGCAATGGCATCTCAAGTCATCTCCGCAAGTTTTGCTGCGGTTTTCTATTTGGTGATGTTCTTCCAGGGCATTCTCGTCATTTGTATCGAGCGCTTTGTCAGAATTTCTTCTTCACATGGAACACTTTTCGTATTTTTTGTGGGGGGTTTATTTGCCTGTATAAATGTAATCACAACTAGAAACAATCTCTATGTAGCATTGAACTTCCGGCTTTTCACGGTACCTCTCATTGGAATTATATTTTTGTTCTTTGGCGTCACTCTGTTCTCCAGAGAACTTCCTCCGGGGGAAAATCGACCAACTTTGGGAAGACAACAGCCCTCGATGGGCTTGGTGGTTTCCATAATAACAGTTCCTCTGGTTGGCATTGAGATCGTACTTCTTATCGCGACTTTTAATTCTATATCAACAGACGAAATAAATGAATCCTTGACACATCTTGAATGGCTCTTGCTCAAGACTGAAAAGTCTCTATTCCTTGCTCAAAAGATTTTCCAAGCTCTTTTCTATCTATGTCTGCGCAAAACAAGAATACGCCGAGACTCCGAAGAGAAAGCCCGATTTTATTTTAGATTATTGTCTTTTTTTAACTTCATCGAGTGGATAGACTCACAAGTAAACGTAGAAAGAGACGTTCGTTTGAGTGGAATCACGAAAGAACTCGATGGCTGGTTCAATTTTGTGACAGTTTTGTACCAAGCATTGATCATAGATTATCGCTTATTGTGTTCATTACTATTCCTTGAACATTCGGCGGAAGTTCAAAATCAAGACGGCCTAGCTGAAGAGAATAATTATGGAGGAAATAACCAAGATGTTGGACTAAGAACATGTTTTGGATATAGTGTTGGCTGTGTATGCCTCATTGTTCCCATATTCTGTGCATTACATGATGCTCGTGCTTTCCATCTGGATGCAAGGGTCAATACACTTGTTATTACCGTCAACTTGGTAATTGTCATTTGTGGAGGGTGTCTCCTGTTCAATAACAACTTGGATGCTGATCCCATTCAACACAGAGAATCACAAGGAGTCAAAATCATGGTAAGTCTTGGCAATGTAAGCTTTATCTCAAGTAATTATTTTAGCCTCCTTTAAACCTCTATTTGGATGCAGTACACGAAGCCAGTTTCCTAAAAAATTTAAAAGAGGAAGATTTCAAAGGAACTTCTGTAAATGACCCCGATCCTGAGCCCATCTGACTTAACAACCTTTTCCTACCCACACAGCCCACTCAGGATACGATTGATGCTTCCAGGAGAGCTCTAGAAAACGACCAGATTTCCCTAGCCATTTCACTTTTTTTAATCATTTGCAGCCCAAGGATAATTAACGCATCTGCACTCGATAGATATGAAGTCGCGTAGGTTTTCCCAATATTTCCCGTCTTAACCCTCTTGCAGCCCCAGGCCCTCAATTTTTCGGCTCTGCTGCTTGAAGCTTTATAGAGCACGCAAGACCAGTTTAGTCCTGCATGGGATTATTTACAGAGCTTTGTATCATATTCACCATCTACATTCAGACTCTTCACGTTTCCACACGTTCGACCGTTAAGGTCGATATCCATTCATGATATCTACTAGTAATGTTCGTGTCAAGGTGCGCGAAATAATCTTTCAGTACGGTTCTTTAATTCCCCTCGGTGCTGCGGCTCCCGAGTAAATTGAAGAACGAGACTTGTGCTATTTTTCTGGAAGCGGACAACTTGAACTGTCTAATGGACTCTTCGAAAATACCAGAAGGTAGACTAATAATTCGTTTACCGCTTACAAGTTGTCATAGTAGTCACAATCATCGTCATTATCGCTGTCGGTATCATAACTTTTAATTAATATAAATTATTACTTTTTTCATCCATAGGTTTGTTGCTTGGGTGCTGTGGGATTTACATGCTGGCTTATGGAGGCGGCCATTGCTTGTTTTTGGGCAGTAAAAAACAGAAGCGGCATTCAGGATGTGAAACCCCAGTACATTCCTTGGACTGCTGCAAAGTTTGCTGTACGCAGTGTAACAACAGCATTTATCATTTTCTTGTTCATGAAAATAAACGTTCGAGCTTTTCCCTCGAATAACCCGACCAAAAGTGGAAACTTTACTTTAGTACCTATTGTAATGTTTGGGGTAATATCCATGTTTATCGAAGGCTTAATTGACCAGAAGGCTGGATGGGTACACCAATATCTTGGGTAAGCCGAACAATTATATTCTTAGCATGGGAGTTCGTTTTCATTCAAAAGTGTACCTGAAAGCATTTGGTTTCTCGCTAAAGATAAATATACATTTATTTTCAATATTACGCATGCAATGCAAGTTATACATCCTGCCGTCCTCAGGCCATTTTCTCTATTCTTTGGCGCGCGCTCCGCCAATTCATTTTCAAATTTACCGCCGGTAAGTCTAAATAAGTCCCGGATATTTCGCGGCACTCTGCGCGATGTTGTAAACTTTCTTCACTGTTTGAAATTGAATGGCAAGTTCTAAGTTCTTGAACACTGAAATGCTTTTGGAACACATGATGAGGTGAGCTGATGAATGATGCAAAGTTTATCAGCCTTGGTTTTAGGTCTCAAGCATTTCCATTTAAAATAGGTTAGCCTGCATTTGTCTCCTTATAGGAGTCCTTTAGGAAATAACTCTCCAGATGTGGTTAGGAAAAGCACCCCCTTTGTAGGTTTGCCTTGTAGTGGTAGTTAGTCATGGAAATTTACTTCTAAGCTTTGTTTTTTCTTAAAATTTTATTTCCATAGGTGTGAAATACAAGATCAAACCCTGGTATTCCTCTTTGAGGCAGGTCCGCCAATGTACCTGGGATTTCTTATTCATGTTGCTCTCTACTTTATGGTACTTGCAAAAGGACTTCGGTACTGCGCACCAGGGCCAATTTTACATATTCCATTAGATTAACAGTAGAGGCTGAACTTATGCGATCAACTACTGAGTTAGAAATCATATCACCTTTGTTTCCGAAGCTAACAAGATGTGAGATGAAAGCTGCATCTGTATTGGTTGCGAGGCCAAATATTGTTTGATTCATTGCTTGTTCTAGTTTTGGAGCCTTGATGCATCCTGAGCCTGAAAGTGGCAATTATGGATCGTTATGCGTAGAGGAAAGACTTTGCTGTTAAGGCCTGGTTTAGAGGCTGGCCTAATTAAAAATTGAAAAATTGCCGCATGTGGTAGCCACGGAGTGTTAATAGTTTTTTTTTTTTTAAGTGTTAATAGTTTAAATACACTTAGGGATGGCAGTAAATAAAGCTTTCATCTACTCCTTCTTTCTATCGATCATTAGGAAGCACAAATCAGTGAAGGGATAACAGTCAGTGAGTTCGTCGCATTTTATATAAGGATACTAAAAGTATGTGTTCATTATTATCAATGGTTAACGTTTTCGACGCTTACGCTCAACTTGCGTAATGCAGTTTCATCAGTCCTATTATTAAAATAAAGAGCATACGCTCAAAGCTGCACAATAAAAGCTGTAACAACACCAGAAGTCATAAATGATTGTGAATATGTGAAAATCGAAAGTATGAACTGCAGATGAAGAAATGAACATGAAAGTGATCTTCGCAGTAACGAACACTACGCAAGCAGCATTGAAAATAAGTAATCTCCTTGTTATGCTTTAAATAAAATAATCTCCTTGTTATGCTATGCAAGACTTACGAACGAATATCGCGCTAAAAACAAGGTCATAACAAAAATTAACAACTCAACGGACGGAGGTTTGCATGCAGCTGATGCGCGTGAGTCGTACGAGTTGACTCCTTTACCGTTGAAAACCGATCCACCTTGTACATGAAAGTTCTCATCTTTTAAAAAAGAATCTGACTCAACAACTACGAAGGATGTGAGCGGCGTAACGAAGTTGTACTTCAATGAAATATTCAGCGCTTCTGATTTCAGCCGAGCCTTTTCCTCTAAATTTTCCGTTATCAGGAGATCGAGTAACAGCTCCTTAATTTTCATGTAAGCCCACAGCCTCTCAGGAAAGTCTTTGACTAACACCTCATCTGGTGAGACGGTTAGGTTTTGGAGAGTGTGTGTCAGAGTATAAAAGACAGGTTTGATGCTAGAGGTACCCCGAATATTAACAGGCATCAGCCTTGAATCACTGAGTCCTTCCTTAAGCTTTCCAGACACAACAAGCTCCGATCCATCGTTATACTGAGAAAATTCTGTAGCTGTGACTTGTGTGTTATCTACCATGTCCTGAGGATACTCGAATCGAACTCGCACCAACAGAGGCGTGCTGATCTCGTCAAAAAATCCTTCTAGTTGACTCGCAGCGTCCTTAGCTAGATAGATTCGACGAGCTTTACCTCCATTTTCAGCTGATAGTGCAGTAAGCAAATTCATATTTAGGTTAAAGCCAAATCCTAGAGAAAATATGGAAGCTTTTAACGTATTCGCCTTAAGAATGTTAGCACGGATCTGCTGACCGTCGACAACCCCCTCGGTTGGCTCACCATCTGTCAGAAACAGTACAATCGAAAAATTGCCTGCAGCGAACGAATCCCCCTGACGAGCTATATCTCCAAGGAGGTTTAGAGCCAAAAGAAGAGCTTCGTTGATGTTGGTACTGCCTCCTGCGTTCACGTTTTGTTCGACAAAGTTTTTACCAGCTTGAATATTGTCACTAGTTGCGAGCGAGGTTGAAGGTCTCCACTTTACCGTATCACCATTAAATAGGACGATGTTAAATGAATCGTCTGCGCGAAGCTGGTCGAGGATAGCTAACATGGCTTGGCGCGTTTGCTCAATCTTTTGACCTTCCATTGAACCACTGATGTCGATGACGAAGACCACGTTTTTTGGCAATGGATTTAAACCACTGGGAGAGAAATACTGAACGAAAAAGGAGTCAAGCACTTGGATTACTCCGGCGTCATTTTTGTGATGAACGTTGTACCTGCCATGAGGAAAGAAAACAAAGGTCGCTGACAAACAACTGTAACAATTATTATGATAACTATAATGCAGTATGCATATTTTCCATACTGTTCCGTACACATTTTCTAAGGTGCTGACAAGCCGGAGAATTTGTTTAACATCACGAGTTCCTTTAGCTGGTGATCATTTCCTTTATTCTTGCTACCTTTATGTTTGATTAATTGGTTATATTGTATGGAGAAATTAGATGCTTGTCACTCTTTGAAGTTAAAGGGTTTGAGGAGAGAATGACGATGCTTGTGCTCTATGAAGCAACCGCAAAAAATTGCCCCGAATCGTTTTCATTGGGTACAAAAGCATAATTTTGTTCGATCTTGTTGCGCTGCTCGCCTCCTTGAATCATTTTTTCGTAAACCTTCCGAATGAAACAATGCAAAGTGTGTCGTCTAAAGAAGCAGTTTCAATGAAAGTTCCATCTTCTGTTTTAA